CGCGTCTGTGGGCCCTGAAAGGGGGAAGGTGGAGGGTGAAAGGCGGTTACCGAGTGCCCTCGGGCCCGATTGGTTCCCATGTCCCCGCAGCCATTCGCCTGGAGAAACCCCTCATGTCTGTAAATTTCAAGGAGAAGAAATGGATTCAAGGTCCCCAGAAAACATCTATAGCCCGGCCGGCGGGGCTCAGTGGTTGAGCGTCGGCCTATGAACCAGGAGGTCACGGTTCGAGTCCCGGTAAGGGCGCAGGCCCGGGTTGCAGGCTCGATCCCCAGTGTGGGGCGTGCAGGAGGCAGCCGGTCCATGATTCTCTCTCATCATGGATGTTTCTATCTCTCTCTACCTCCCCCTTCCTCTCTGAGATCAGTAAAATTTACAAATACATTTTATAAAAATGTATAAATATATAAATTTAAGGGAAAAAATAAGGGAAAGGGAGAGAGAGAGAGAAACATCAAGGATGAGAGAATCATGGATCGGCTGCCGCCTGCACGCCCCACACTGGGGATCGAGCCCACAACCCTGGCCTGTGTCCCCAGTCGGAATCAAACCCGGGACCCTTCAGTCCGCAGGCTGACGCTCCATCCACTGAGCCACACCAGCCAGGGCTACAAATATATTTTTTAAAGAGGGAAACATCTATAGGACCCGAGTGCAGAACACGTGGCCCAGGAGGAGGCGTGCTTTCGTTGGGTTTTGTTGCACGTGTTAGGCCTCAGATAAAAGGTCGCGGCGTCAGGGGAAACCTATGGGCTGTGCAGGGGCACCAGCCCCTCCCGCTTTGCACCGGTGAACGGCACAGGCCCCACCCCGTTCAGGTGACGCCATCTCATGGGTCATTTTCAAGGCAGAGGCTGTGATCGGCTCTCCTGTCCCGAGGGTTCTGGGTCAGCGGGCAGCAGGGGTCCAGGCTCCGTGGGTGGTCCTGGCCCCGTGCTCTCTCTTCCCTCACCCCTGCTCGGTCTCCCTCGCCACCAGCCCCCCCTTCTCAGTGTCCCTACACCTGGTGGCTCAATAGAAATGACGAGGGCGGCAGCTGACACTTACGTAACGCTTGGCACTGCCAGGCACCGCTCCAGGCTTTTCCTACCTCGGCCACTCTCCTCTCCTCACCCGTGCCCCCTCCTGCGGGGGGCTCCCTGACGCCCTACTCCACGCTGCCACTGCACCTGCCACTCCTGACACTGTGCTCTGCCTCCGACACCCTGGCCCTGGTCACCTTGTCACACTCCGTATCGTGTGTCTGTCTGTTTCTTTGTCACTAGTGGCCCGGTGCACAGATTCGTGCACATTGAAAGGAAATTAATTAGAAGAAAGATTCGTGCGGTAATGACGTTGCTGCGAAAAAAAATTACATGTCAAAGTGGTATATACAATATAGCGCTATAAAACCAAAACACGCGTGCGATTGGCGCCAGCAAGAGCTCTATATGTATTGTGCATGCGCGAGTCAATGTTTATTTTTAAATTGCCAGTGCGTGTCCTATGTACCGGGCGGTCGGTCAGACATACGTACGGTCAGTCACTGAGCCTTTTATATTTAGAGATGTTTAGTGTTTATTGCCTCTCTCCTCCCAGGTGAATGCATACCCCCTACAGTGCAGGGTTCTCACTGTTTTGTTCGCTGACCTATACCACATCAGCCCCCAAAAGTGCCCGGGGCCATTGCAGCTAGTTGATAAGTAGCTGGCAAATAAAGTAATTAATGCTGTTTTGCAGAGGAACAGAGAGGTTTAGTGACTGGCTCAAGGCCACATGGCCAATAAGAGACACAACCAGGATTCAAACCCCTTGAAGCCCTAATCCACACACACACACACAAGCACCGGTCTGGACCGCCTCCTGAACGAAATAGTAAGAATTTGCCTTTTTTGGTTTATTCGAAAATTTAGAAAGCACTTTCACCTTCTGTTAATAGACACCCTAGTCCAGTGGTCGGCAGATTCATTAGTCAACAGAGCCAAATATCAACAGTACAACGATTGAAATTTCTTTTGAGAGCCAAAGTTTTTAAACTGAAACTGTATAGGTAGGTACACTGTTATTAACTTAATTAGGGTCCTCCTAAGGCTTAGGAAGAGCCACACTCAAGGGGCCAAAGAGCCGCGTGTGACTCGAGAGCCGCAGTTTGCCGACCACGGCGCCTAGTCCATGAGCAAGGGGAGGCCAGGAATTGCTACTGGCCCCATTTACAGATGAGCAAACCGAGGCTCGGGGAGACCGCGATGAGCTTGACTGCACAGACCCAGGCCGTGAGCCCAGGACTGGAGACAGCTCTGCTCCAAAGGGGGTCAGGGACACAGCCCTGGGCCCCCTGAGCCGGGCCCCTCTCCTCCCCCAGCCCCCCTTCCCGCACTGCAAGCTGCGCAGTCCCTCTGGCTGGGAGAGGACCCAGTGGACTCTTGGCCACCATGAACCTGGTGGGGGGCACCGGCCACCGTGACGCCTGGGAGAGGGACCAGGTCTCTGGCGGGACCCAGGGTGGGGCTGAGGGAGGACAGCCCAGGTCTGCAGGGCTGGCTGGACGGGAGGGGAACGCGTCTCCTGGGTCTTCAGTGGTCAAGTCCCCTGCAGTGCAGGTCACCACTGTCCCCTGTCCCCTGGCCCCTGGCTCCTGTCCCCTGGCCCCTGGCTGCAGGTTAGCTACCACCCGCTCTGGCCCCCACCCCACCCCCCACCCCACCTTCTGGGCCCAGCAGACCGCTCAGCTGTCCTGGGAGCGACTCGGGGCTGGGGCTTTGGGTGGTGTGTGGAGAGGGACTCCCGGCTTACCTTCTGCGTCCGCCCTCAAGACCAGCACCTTCTGCGTCAGCTCCCAACACAAAGACCTCCTGCTTCTGTCCCCAAAACTAGACCAGGACCTTCTGTTCTGTCTCCAAGACCAAGGCAGTCTCTTTCTTGGCCGGGTGCGCGGACGCCCTATTTATACGTGAGGGGCGGGGATGGAGCCGTTCCCGGACTGTTCTGTGCCCAGGCTGGGGGGCAGGGGTTACATCATGGTGGGGGAGGGGGCCCAGCAGTCAGGCTGATGAGGGGGCTGGACGCCAGAGGGACTCCTGCTGGGACAGCTTCCAGGAAGTGGGTGATCGATGCCCTCGCTGTTGAACAGAATGCGCTGGGACACGGCCCAGTTACACATTCACTGCAGCTCCCGGGGCCGCGGGTGCCGGACAGCGAATCCCCTGTGGGCGTGTGAGGGGCCTCTGCCCCGACATGACTGCCGAGGGCAGCCTGGGGTGACTCTTTCTTTCTTTCCTTTTTAAAATTTTTGTTTTTTAATTGATTTCAGAGAGGAAGGGAGAGGGAGACAGAGATAGAGACATCGATGATGAAAGAGAATCACGGATCGGCTGCCTCCTGCACGCCCCGCCCTGGGGATCCAGCCTGCAACCCGGGCGTGTGCCCCGACCGGGACTCGAACCCTGACCTCCTGGTTCCTAGGTCGACACTCAGCCCCTGAGCCACGCCAGCCGGGCGTGCTCTTGTTTAAAAAGGCACGTGCTCAGGTGTCCTCGGGTTGCTTTGTGGGTCCGCTCCGAGTTCGGTAAATCAGACACGGGAAGCACAAGGTCCAAGCCCACTTCTCCGTGGAGGTGTCCTGGCGTTGGCGCCCCCGCCCCGTGCCGCTGAGCTCCGTGTTTGCTTTGGCGCTCGTCCCGGGGAAAAGTCTACAGACCGGCCGGTGAGCAGCGATAAGGATCGGCTGCCCCGATGGAAACATGCCGTCCGTCCGCCTTTTCCACGGAAGCTGTCGCTGGGATGACTGACGTGCGGTCCCAGCGGCCCGAGGTGCCAGCTCTTGCAACAACCCAGCTCCGGAAAAAAAATATTTACTTAGTGATCAGCTCTTCCTCTGCGGAAAGTATTGCAAAGCGGTTTAGGGAAAAGAGGCCCGGCCGGCGTGGCTCAGGGGCTGAGCGACGGCCTGTGAACCAGGAGGTCACAGTTCCATTGCCGGTCGGGCACATGCCCGCGGCGAGGGCTGGATAGACGGCGTGCAGGAGGCAGCCGGTCCATGATTCTCTCTCATCATGTCTCTCTCTCTCTCTCTCTCTCTCTCTCTTCTTCTCTGAAATCAACACAAATATCTGGCTCTTTACAGAAACAATTTGCCACCCCTCCTCTAAATAAAAACAAGGAGGCCCTTGTCACGGATAACAGAGCAGCATGAATATTTCTTTTTTTTTTTTAATATTTTATTGATTTTTTACAGAGAGAAAGGGAGAGAGATAGAGGGTTAGAAACATCGATGAGAGAGAAACATCGATCAGCTGCCTCCTGCACATCCCCCACTGGGGATGTGCCCACAACCCAGGTACATGCCCTTGACCGGAATCGAACCTGGGACCCTTCAGTCCGCAGGCCGGCGCTCTATCCACTGAGCCAAACCGGTTTCGGCACCATGAATATTTCTTATCATGGCCGCGGGTCCCCACTGTTCTATGTCTGCCCCTGACAGAGTGACGTGCAGGGACATGCATCAGCAGGTGGGGACGCAGGGGCTGGTACCCAGGGCCCCGTGAGCGAGCTCTGGCCCTGTAATGCAGACCATAGTGATGGCAGTTCTATATGCTGCTCCTTAGTGACATATACTGTTCCTAAGCCCCCTTCCCCGGGGAAAACCGCCATCTCCCACTCAGGACACGCCCTCTCCTGAGCAAACCGGTCCTGGCCGCGCCTGTGGGCCCAGGGTGGGTTCCTGCTCTCTCCTCAGAAAGCCATGTCCCCCCGGCCGCACTGGGTCTCCCCAGTGCTTGAGAGAGAGGGTGCCGCCCCTGCTTGGCCCTGGCAGGCCTCGCACTCCCTGTGGGTCTGCGGGAGCCCAGAGGGCAGAGGGCCCTCCCTGGAGTTTGCCATCCGGGTGTGTCCCACCTCCGTGGGGCAGGGAGGATCCCAGCAAAGAGGCTGAGCCCCAGGGCCTGGGCTGGGTGCCCTGAGTGGCTCCGTCCTGCCTGGCACTCGCTTCTCGCCGGCCCGAGTCTGCTGCCCGGGGAGCAGCCATGCCTCACCTCCCCCGGGCCCCGGGGCCCCAGGAACACCCCAATCCCAGGGACGCCCGCGGCACCCACTCCTCCGGCCAGAGCTTCTAGCAGCTGCGGCGGGAGTGCCTGCAGAAGGGGGTCCTGTTCGAGGACCCCGACTTCCCCGCCACGGACTCAACGCTCTTCTACCGTGATAAGTTCCTAATCCCCTGCATATATAGAACATAAAATAATTAATTAGAACATGAAATTTATGAAATATATACATTTTTAATTAGAACATGAAATTTATGAAATATATACATCCTTAACCAGCAAGACAGAAAGATTCACAGAAGCTTAATTAGCACCCATCACTAGCAGTTTCAGACAGGCATTAGTCATTGGGTCGGTTGGGTCTTTCTACTAATGTCTTTGAGGTGTGCAGCGATAGCCCTGGTCCCAGGTTCTGGGAAATCTCTGTCAAGCTGTTTGCCCTCTTCTGACATTTGTTCTTAACCCAGCAAGACCTCTGCCAACTACTGTCTCAGTAGCTGGCAGCAAGGGGTATGGAGCTGAGGTAGGGGTGCAGCTGTGTGCTGTAATGATGGCTCACAAATCCCAGGGGAGGAAGCTCGGGTAAGGGACAACGGAGAGTGTGCATGCTGTCACACGTGTACTTCTCCGGTGTAGAACGGGGACATATTTTGTGTGCCAAATCCCTGGGACAATGTGGCCATGTTAGTAGGCATGACTGAGAATTTGCTGGTGACCTGTCCCTTACCCAGAAATAAACATGGACTATAACAAGAGCTACCACCTATCTCATGAGTATTGAGTGCACATAGGATTGCCCATGTATTCATAACCTCAACAATTAGGTATCAATATGACATTAGTTGGGTGGGGCAGGAGAGTGATGGCTCAGTATGTGTGAAACCAAGAGGAGCTTTATGACAGAGGATATGCAGATGGTGTGGGCCAGGTCAAGGGAGCCCTTGAGTGAGGGTGAAGCTTCACCAGGCCCTGAGGCTAGCCTCAAAAATGCTTATTCCTGGCATGAAGGAACACACGAAAGAGGAACAGTGTTTTGGGGACCTAGCAAAGGCTTATAACTTGGAAGGGGACTCCCCAGCAGGAGTTAAAGCCATAGATAAAGGCAACCACTGCCATGACTCCACAGAAAGGCAGGAGGGAGCAGACGGTACTCCTAAATGTCCATTTTCTCCTGACCTGATTACACTGCACAGCCTCCCAGGGCATGGGTTCCAAAGGGAAGCCTTCTGGAACCCAGAACAGAGCAGGAAAGGTGTAAATATGGATGGAGGATGGGAAAGCAAACAGAACAACACAGCATTCCTTTTACATGAGTGAAACCTGATGTTCATATAGCTCTCTGGTAGCACAGCAGGGACTTAAGTTGAAATCATAGATTTTCTCCCCTTGTCCACTGGGCCTCTGCCTCTATACAGCTCCCTCAAGGCTGCTCAGATGTTCTTATCTCAACACTCTTTATTGTTTGTTTATTATTTTCATTTTTCAATTACAGCCTAATAAACAATATTATAATAGTTTCCGGGTGTACCCAGAGATTTATGCATTGTATAACCTTACTAAGTGATCATCCT